TACAAAGGTTAAAGGTATTCTCTGGAATATCACCTTATAACCAAGGTCGTCTCTGTAACCGAGATGATGAGGTCAGTCAGATGACGACGCTACCATTTGAGTTTTTTAAGCAAACATAAGCATATCGATATTAATTCAGGCTTCGAGAAGAGTCCTCTCCCACTCACAAACGAAATACAATAATCGGTAACTGATTTTCTTTATAAGTAAAGCAACATTTAAATCAACAAAAGGCAAATGACAATGATGGTGAATAATTATAGGCTTACCTCTTGCTGATTTTTGGGTTTCAGTACCTCCTTTATATTAATCAAAAAACAGTAAAGCAATATTGAAGGTTGTATCAAACGCTTCACTGAGTCAATGAAAGGCAACACCTAAAGCAGTTTCAATCTGATAAAATACCTTCAGTTAAATTAGAGGAAATAATTATCGAAAAAAATATATATACTTGTACAAACAACAGTAACGTTATTTCGCATTTCGGAGCACGTCGGTTTTCATTGTAGCTTGTACTTTTAACAGAACACTGGAAAGTACAAGTAGCTAAGCCACGCCCTGAATGAGACAAACGTAAAGGTCATGTGAATTCCTGCAAGTATAATCAGCCACATTCATTTACTTAATAAGAAGCAGAGAGCCATATCTTTAGAGTGGGTTTGAGGGGAAAAAATAACCAAAAAACCCACACGCCGAAGACACGCAGAACCTCTCAGTCATCACAAAATGGATTCTAGAGAGAGAAAGAGAAATGGAGGGAGAGAGTGAGAAGGGGGAGATAGATAGATAGATAGATATAAATATAATACATATATATATATTATATATATTATATATATATATATATATAGAGAGAGAGAGAGAGAGAGAGAGAGAGAGAGAGAGAGAGAGAGAGAGAGAGAGAGAGCGGGAGGGGGGGAGATAAAGAGAGAGAGTGGGAGGGGGGGAGATAAAGAGAGAGAGTGGGAGGTGGGAGAAAAAGAGAGAGATTTGGAAGAGGGATATAAAGAGAGAGAGTGGGAGGGAGGAGATAAAGAGATGGAAAGAGAGAGAGTGGGAAGTTGGAGATATAGAGAGAGAGAGAGAGAGAGCGGGAGAGGGAGATAAAGATAGAGATTGATTGATTGATTTAGTTTTAATTCCATTAGTTACAATGGATATCCTTTGCTGTGATACTGTCTGTTTTATTTTGCCCAAATAGAGAATGGGAGGTGGGAGATAAAGAGAGAGAGAGAGTGGGAAGGGGGGATAAAGTGAGAGAGAGAAACAGGCGCAGACAAAGACCGACAGACTATAAGCGTCAAAAAATCACCTTTTGAAACCATCTTTTCGTCGAGTCGGACATTCTGAAGCCGTATAGCGAGGCCTCCACTTTCCTTCTGCAAATGAACCACGCTTTTATCATAGACGAGGGCTAAGATGCATTCAGTTGAACGAAACAGGTATTTCTCGTTGATATTTCCCCGTTATGAACAAAAAAAGACATTCTTTGTGATAACGGTGTTTTTTTTATAGAAAATGTCTAAATATCGGATTGAGAAGAGAGGAATGCGATGAAGGAAATAAGAAGAATTGAGAAAGATGAAAATAACGTATAGAGGAAATGGAGGAAATGTTAGAGAATCGAGATAACCAGGAGCATAGAAGCAGTAATAGGGAGAGAGACTAGATAGATAGGATGATTGATGGAATGATTAATAGATAGATAAACACACACACGTGTATCATTATATATATATATATATATAATATATATATATATATATATATATATATATATATATATATATATATATATATATATATATATATATATATATATATATATATATATATATATATATATATATATATATATATATATATATATATATATATATATATATATATATATATATATATATATGTGTGTGTGTGTGTGTGTGTGTGTGTGTGTGTGTGTGTGTGTGTGTGTGTGTGTGTGTGTGTGTGTGTGTGTGTGTGCCTATCTATCTATCTGTCTATCTATCTATCTATCTATCTATCTATCTATATATCTATTATATATATATAATATATATATATATATATATATATATAGAGAGAGAGAGAGAGAGAGAGAGAGAGAGAGAGAGAGAGAGAGAGAGAGAGAGAGAGAGAGAGAGAGAGAGAGGGATAAGCCTATGAATTCCTAGTCAGAGAGAAAACCGATAGCCACCATCATCCTGCCTCCCCTCCCCCCTCTCTTCCTCTTCCTCCTCCTCCTCCTCCTCTCTCCGCCTCCTCTTCTTCCTCTTTCTCCGCCTCCTCCTCCTACTACTACTACTTCTAGTGCTAACATTCCTCTTCCTCCTCTCCTCCACCTCCCCCCTCCTCCTCACCAGATCCCCCTTCCTCCCCATACCCCACTCCTCCTCCCACTCCCCATCCCCCCTCCTCCTCCTCCCCCACCTCTCCTCCCACCATCCCCTTCCTCCCCCTACCTCCTCCTCCAACCCCTTCCATCCTCATCCCTTCCTCC